AGAGCAGCTTTTCTCAGTCCATTCTCGAACAGTTCACTCCTTGCTCAGGCCAAACTCATTGGCAATATTACCATTCCTTCCCTTTCCAGGCTTCTGGCAAAGAAGGCATAGATAAGTCCCTTACAGTGTGCACTGGGCTAAGGGCTCCCACAAGTGCTTACGGGTGAGGGTTTAACTTAGCAGTTTAGGAAGTCAAGGCCCTGAGCAGGAGGCCAGGCCCAGGGTACAGGACTGGAGTTTGAAGTAGGGTTGCAAACCCTGCCCGAGTAAGGCTGAGGTCCTTGTATGGAAATTCTCACTGTCAAGAATCAAAAGTCCACAAAGGAGACAGAGGAGCTCTAAAGCTTTATTTGAATAAAGGGGGAGTCCGCTGGGGCATTCTGCTGTGGGGGTTTCTCAAACTGCTGGAGGATGCAGTCTCCTTTTATCGTGCTTTCCTGATCAAGATATGCCCTCTCCTTTTCCTCATTGGCTAAGGTACTCAGAAGTTGCAGACTTCCCGACCCGCCTATCATATGTTGCTCCTTGATTTATGTTCTCCCTCCCTGGTCAAATGTTGCATGTGTAATTAAAGTGATTTTTATGCTTCCCCTGGGTGGAAAAGTTAATATTCATTAGTTCATTACATTTATTCTACTAAGGGTCATTTGTTGATAAGATACTCTCTGCTACCCTCCTGTTCTCCCCTGAGGTCAACTGCACCCAATCGCATAAGCATGGCACAGCCTTCCAGCCTGTAGTCACTCATGCCATTTGCCAAAGCATGTGGAGTAACTTCCTTATTTGTAAAGACATAGACTTCTTTGTTCCTCTCATCCTCAATGAATATGCCTCTCACAGGTTCCGCATCAGCCACATTGCTATTGACCCCATGTCATCAAAATTGGGAATAAACCTCTTAACAGCAATACAGTATTAAGAAGCAGGCATTCTCTTTATTCTGGCACCAGATGTACGAGGGATTGCTCCTCTGCAATGTTACGTTTGTCAAAGTTTATATTCTCCCTTTGCATACATACGCACTAAAATTTCCCAGAACGATCGCACATAATCATTCTATTTCCTAGAACTAATTACAACATGCCCCACCCTCACACATATGTACCCTTCATCTCTTCAATGGGCCTTGGTGGTCTTTTGGAACCCCTAGTGGTTGACAGTCAGTGTCCTTTTGATAAACTCCTGCAGTTTCCCTCCATATGTGGTCTTGTTTTGGCACAGGCTGCTCTATTCAGCACCCTTGTTCAGTTTTGACTACTTTCAATTAGTTCCTCAAAGACATGCTTTCCCTTCCAAAAGAATGCTTTTAGCAGGCAGCGTTTGGGCTTGCTATGTGGACCCTGGCCTAGGCCTTGGCGTTAGTAGTTAGAGCCAGAAATAGGCCAAAGCCAAACCACACTCTCCTGAAGTGGGAAGAAGGGGCCCTATGCTGCTGTTCTTCCTGCTGCTGTGGTATCCTGTACTTCCTTTTTAACAGACCCTCTGGCCCTGTCTGTATATTGCCTCGGTGAAGCCTCGGCCTAGTGAGCCAAGTCTTGCTCTCAAAAGGTATAGGGAGGACCAGAGCAGAGGGACGTGCTGAAGCATGTGTCCAGGCGCCTGGTATGGACACGGGTAGGAAGATGCCAATCCTTTCCCACTGCAGCCCTAGCTGCTGTAGCTCAGTTGCTGACTGCACGGGATGCAGCAGGGAGCCCTGCTGCAGTCAGTGGGGCAAGGGCAGCACAATGAGGGCCAGCCCTTCTTGTGGCACGCCGGCAACAGCATCCTTAGAGCAGAAACCTACCCAGCCACGAGGGCATAGGGGAAATTCTGTGGACGCAAGGCTACAGTGGGCCTTCAGCTGGAAGAGACCATCATGTCCTCCAGGCTGCTGTGGCCTTAAGGGTCACAAAGGATTGCTGGCAGGGCCAGGACCTGCTGGACACTGAGGCTGAAGACACCCCCAAGCAAGCCACAGACACAATGGAGACATTGTAGTCACTGTGGGGCTGCTTCTGCACTGGTGGTGCTCAGCGCTGCCAGTCTGCACTTCCTCACCACCCTGGCAAGATGGTACATAGTCTGAAGCCAGGCCAAGGTGCGGTCAGCACAGTCAGCACTCTATCCCAGTCTCTCTCTGATGCTGAAAGGAACATGCATGGTGCCCCCCAGTTCCCCACTGCATATGTCCAACTACCAGATACTGGAGCAGTGCGAACAGTGGAGGAGGAAGGTGCCTTCTCAGGACAGGTGAGTTATACTGTTGTGTGCATGTGCCACAGCGGTTGTTCTCCTGTGCTCTCCATCAATGGCCATTGACAGCTGCTTGAGCACTCCAGGGTCTCTGCAGCAACAGCTGTAACAGCTACCATGGCTAGAGCTTGGGCACTGCAGGGCATGCCCTGATGGCCATCATGAAGGGAGATGGTCATGCCCAGCTGCATGGGCCCGGCATCGGCATTTTCGTATGAGAAAATTCCCTGGCTGCCCTACTGAAGCCCCACTCATGCCTTGGGTGGGCAGCATCTCTTCCGCTGCTTTCCTCAGGACCAGAAGAAGTCTCTGTGGAAGCCGTTAGGTTTCCCAGCCCCTCCTGACCACATACGGTGCAGCTATTGCCCGCAGGAAGGGAAGAGGAATGGATGCCCGCAGGAAGGGAAGAGGAATGGATAGCTGCCCAGAAGACTGACTTGGAGTGAAGCAGCCACTGCAGTCCCCATGTTAGCAATTGACAACACAGGTCCCCATCAATCAGCTAGGGGCCTGGAGATTCCTGGGAGGGCAGTGCTGAGTGCTTTGAAATTTCCATGGGCAACTCTTCTCTGCCTGTGTTTGAATGGTACACTCCTTGCTTAGGCTGAATTCCTCATCAATATGTTTCGCAACATCCCTTTCTTTCACAGCCCTCCATCAAAGGCCTTAAGCTCTAGTCTACCTCTTTTGAGGGCTCCATCCACTTGGCAGCTCTTCACACATCTACTTTTCTCATGCACTGGCTGAAAGAATATTACCCTTTTATGCCTCTTTGAATGTTTAAAGATGAGAGTGCCTCAGCTGGGGAAGGCAGACTTTCTAATCAAGAAATTAGTAGATTTTTGAGACACTAGTTAGCAACATGCTTCCTCACGCCAAGCCTAGAAATGTGTCCTTCAAAACAAAGCTAACACTAGTGAAATCTATAGCCTTTTGAGCTATCTGAAATACTACTCACCCTCATTATTTTGGTATCACTTAACATGGGGAAGAGCATTATTACCTTTGGCTTGTGCTGCTTAGCTGATCTGAGGCACCCTTGTATCTTTATAATACTCTTTTAAGATTCACACAGTGATGAAAGATGAGTCTTTCCTTAAGCTGCTCTTTATTAAAGCAAAACAAAACCAAACACCCAAAACAGGAATTATCTGTAAAGATATAAAATCAATAAGCACCAAGTGCTTCTTGCTTCCCAGTACAGTAGGACTCAGGAGTGACAGGTAAGTTTGGTGTTGATTTGTTCAGTACATTAGATCCATGGCTGCAGGCTTGACAATTTTGAAAAACACAGCAAATCCAACTTACCTGATATGTCCAAATTCATTTTGTTTGAACACATCTTCCTGTTATTTTTGATAAAAAATAGTGATTTCTGCTGACTGCAGAGCTGTAGCTGGAGGAACTAGCAGGCTCTTTCTGTATGCAGCTAGGTGTCTTCTGATGGGAGAGCTTTCTAGCAGCAGATGGGAAAGTGAGTCCAGGTGGTGCTCCTCTTCACAGTGTTCCCCAGGAAAAGTGTATCCTTCACTTTGGGTAATGGTCTAGTTAGACCGAAGTAAGTTACTTATTCTTCAGAGCTCATCTTATTACTTGTGGTACGGAAATGCCATAGGAGTACAAGTGCTCAAGCTGTATACCTAAGATTGAATAATGAAGCAAGGCAATGGTTTGCAATGCAGGTATTGATGTTTGTAGAAGGCAGAAAAGTTCACTTGTACCCTTTGCAATCGTTACGGTAACTGAAGTCCAAACGAGATCTTTTGTGCATCTCCCATCTCTTCAAATCCTGAAGCACAACTGTCAGTTGCAGTGGGAATTGGAAGATGCCTGTTTGGTGTTGCAGCTTAATTGACCTTCCACAGAACTACTCCTCTCATTTGCAAATGCATCCCTGCATTCTGTACATGGTCACTTTTGCCTGTTTTCTTGCCACCTTCCCTGCAAAGTGCTGCTGTTTGATTTTCCAGAAAGTAGGTTGCACAGTGTACACAAACCTGATCTTAAAGTGGCAACTTCATCCTCTTGTGGAATATCTGAATCATTAGAATAGGTGGAGAGATACTGAGACTACAGGAGCACAAGGTGAAACAAAACTGATCCTGAACGCCTTGACATATGGCAAGGGACAAGAAATAGAAAGGAAGGGTGCCACATTTAGTATTCACTGATTCCTTATTTCTTCTTTTGTGGTCATCCCTTTTGCAATTTCTAGAAGAGGAACTGTGGCTCACTGTAACAGATTCATACTACAGATAGCATGCCTATGTCTCTCTCCTGCAACAGAAAGATGCTCTAGCTCCTACCACTGTTGAGCCAAGGAAGAGGGAAGAGTGTCAAGCTATAAAAGAACCACAGTTCTTGCAAGCTAATTTTTTGACAGAAAAAAACCCACCAAACAACAACAACAAAAGCAAAACAGCTTAAATACAATGCTCCTCTCCTTTGCAACATTTCTTTAGCTTCAAAACAGTTGAAAATGCCTGCTGTACCTCTGTAGTTGTCCAATCTCCTCTGACCTTTCTGGCAGCCCAACCACCCTGTACCCAGCTCAGCTTCAGAATATAAATTTAAGAGTTGAGGAAGCTCAGAAAGTGCTGCCCAAGAGCTCTGCTCTAGATCTTTGGTTGTGAAATCCAGGCGGCTTGTTGTGCAGCAGGATTCAAACATCTCACTGTTTCAGGTGAGCACTCACAGCAGTCATAGTCCCTGCTCACTGACCTGTCCTTCCATAACCAGCCCTTGGTGTGCTCTTTTCAACCTGGTCAGGCTTCAGGGATGGTTTCTGCTGCTGTTTCATTTGCATTGACCAAAGTGTCCCTGTTTATCTCAGCATGGAGTCTCTTGTAGTCAGTGTTGAAGAAGATAACATAGAAGCAAGCCATGGCACTGCAGAGCCCAGCCAGAAGAAGTGTTGGGACTGCAAAAAAAAAGATAAATTTTCAGAGTGTAGATCTGTGACAACCCAGAGGTGTAGAGGCTTAGAAGTCAGTTCTCAATAAGCTGCAGTCTTAGTGAACTCCTCCCAAAGGCTGTCCCCAAGGTATCTGTGCAGCTCATAGTGGGGCAACAGCGGTTTCTTAAGAAACAAACGTTCTCTCACACACAAAGCGCATCAGATGAGGGCTTGAATGACATTTCAGAACACTTCCAGAATTCCTGTCCTGCTTGGTCACACAGACTGGAGGTCTTAATCTGGTGCACACAGTGTGTTTGCGTGTGTGGTGTGGGTGGGGGAGCTGGGAGCGTGTTGGAGGTTGGGGTAATGAAAACTACGAGAAAGACTTAATCAAAACACTCAGGCATTGTAAGAGAACAGGCCCATATCTGTGCTACAATATCTCCTTGCTACGAGGTCACCAGATAGGAAAGTGCAGCAAAGGTTCCTGAAAGAAGTTTTAATCTAAGAAAGGTTTGTGTCCTAAAAACATTTTTGATGGAAAATAATAAAAAAGAAAATTTAAAAAGGCTATGCATGATGGTTTGGAAGTAGTTCCAAGCATGGTCACAATTTCCTGCCTTTCCCCACAGATCTGACTGTATCAGATCAAAAATTAAGTAGTGACAGGTACCCAGTGATGAGATTCAGTTCAATTCTCACAAGATGAGCAGTTGGACACTTTCAGTGAAGCCATCTTATTTTAAAAAAAAAGCTTTTGAGGGAGGAGGGGAGAGTTGCCACAGTTATTGTGAAGCTATTGGTAACTCCGGAAGTATGGGATAGATGAATCAACAGGTGGATTAGGAATTGGCTGGATGGCAGAGCTCAGAGGGTGGTGATCAGCAGCGCAGAGTCTAGCTGGAGGCCTGTAGCTAGTGGGGTCCCCCAGGGGTCAGTCCCTCAGCAAGTCTGCTGATGACATGAAACTGGGAGGAGTAGATGATACACCACAGGGCTGCGCTGCCATCCAGAGGGACCTGGACAGACTGGACAACTGGGTGGTGAAAAACCTAATGAAATTCAACAAGGCCAAGTGCAAGGTCCTGCACCTGAGAGGAAATAACCCAAGACACCAGTACAGGCTGGGGACTGGCCTTCTGGAGAGCAGCTCTGCAGAGAAAGACCTGAGTGTCATGGTGAATGACAAGTTGACCATGAGGCAGCAGTGTGCCCTCATAGCCAAGAAGGCCAATGGGATCCTGGGGCGCATTAAGAAGAGTGTCTCCAGCAGGTTGAGGGAGGTGATCCTGCCCCTCTACTCAGCCCTGGTGAGGCCACATCTGGAGAACCGTATCCAGTTCTGGGCTCCACAGTATAAGAGGGACATGGAACAACTGGAGAGAGTCCAGCGCAGGGATGATCAGGGGCTTGGAACGTCAGCCCTATGAGGAAAGACAGAGGGAGCTGGGCCTGTTCAGCCTGGAGAAGAGAAGGCTGAGAGGGGATCTAATCAGTGTCTATAAGTACCTCAAGGGAGGTAGTGAGGAGGATGGTGCTGGCCTCTTTTCAGTGGTGGCCACCGACAGAACGAGAGGAAACAGCCAGAAACTAAAGCATCCAAAGTTCCACAGGCCCTTAAGGAAAAATTTCTTAACTGTGAGGGTGACGGAGCACTGGAACAGGTTGCCAAGAGAGGTTGTGGAGACTCCTTCTCTGGAGATCTTCAAAACCTACTTGGACGCAGTCCTGTGCCCCGTGCTCTAGGTGACCGTGCGTGTGCAGGGCGGGTAGACTAGATGACCTCTAGAGGTCCCTTCCAACCTTAAGCATTCTATGATTCTAATTACTATTGGAGCTGATCTTGAGATCTTCTGCTCCCGTGAAGAAGATTTTCAGAGATGTTTGCCAGCTTCTACACTGTAGTTCGTACAGAGGACTTGGTATCATTATTACAGAAGTATAAGCCAGCTGAGAGATCAAGGTTGATCAACCTTGAGGTTTAACCTATAGTGATAACACTTTTGGGCCCTAGTTCATCTCAGTTACTTTCTCTTCCCTTGACTAGTTTGGAAAGGAAGGGAAGCCTGGAAGAAGCCAGCAAAACTTTACTTGAATGTGTACGTGCTTCTGCATGTGTTTGCAGAACATGGTGATTCAGTTTGAGACAGCATATGGATCTTGGGCCAGCCACACTGCAAAGTAACATAAGCTGTATTCTGTGCACAGCATATTCCCCTACAACAGCTTCTCACTATCTGAGTGAAACTTAGGTCTCTGGAGTGTGGTCAGAAGGGGAATTTTAACCAGGAACAGCATTCATGGCACCTTAAAGGTCTTCCATTTCAGCCTTGTAATCTTGTTTTAGCCATGGCAACAGAGAGTGCACCATCAGGTTGGGAGACAGGTGACTACAAGATAGTGT